AATCTTAGATGGATACTGGGTACACCAAGGTGAATAAGACAAAAAGTGATGATTTAGCACTAGGTATGAAAACACATTAAAGCCAATTTTTAAAAGTTATAATAAAGAGGACAGGGAGACAAAGAGGCAAAGAGTGAGCTGTGACCTTCATGCAATAACCCTCTGATGAAATCCTTCAACTGATATTTTTTGAGCAATTACTATAGGCTAAGCATCACTGTGAGTGAGAAGGATATAGAAACAAGCAGATCAAACCTATGCTCCAACTTTCTGGTGGAGGGAGTTTCCCTTCTCATATCAGATGATAGATGGATGGGTAGGTGGGTATGTAGGTTGGTGGAAGGACAGATGGACAAATAGGTTTATCTGAGAAGAAACTTTCCATGAAAGTTTTCACAGGGTGGATGAGGCTTGAACTGATTCTTAACAACTAGAAGGTGCTGGTGAAGGGAAGGAGGGAAGGTCTTACAGGGAGAAGCAGCAGAGTGTGGATAAAGCTTTGGGGAGCCTCAGCAGTTCCTTCTGGTGACAGGAGTGCTGAGTGTGGGCAGGGGCAGCAGTGAGCAAGAACCAGAGACAGCACGGGCTGGAAGCAGGTGCTTTAAGAACCTGGAGGTTACAGGGAACCAAAAAATGTTCCCAAAAAGACTCATAACAAAAGCACTACAACTACAACAAAGGCCCAAACACAGGTAAAGGCTGCTAGGAAATTCCTTTCTCAGAATCATTTGTTTAGTTACTTATTCCCTACTGCAAGGTTTCATCAATGTGCTAAGAGGCATTGCCATTTGGAGGAAAGATGCTAGGCTTAGAGGCTCAGATTCAAGCCCCAGTTTTGCACAAGTCACTTTACTTCTCTGAGACTCAGAATGTCATCAATAAAATGGTGTATCACTGTGGTCATTTGAATGACAATGTCCCTCATAGGCTCCAAGTATTTGGACATTTTGTCCCCAGTTGGTGGCACTCTTTTGGGAGGTGTGGCATTGCTGGAGGAAGCACTCACCAGGCACGGCCTTTGCAGATGTGACCAGTCAGCTTTCTGCTCCAGCCGCCTCCTTCTGCCATTCCTCCCCTGCCATTATGAACTCTAACTCTCTGAACCATAAGCCAAATAAACTCTTCCTTTTATAAGTTTCCTTGGTCACGGTGATTTATCACAACAGTAAAGTAACTAATACAATTACCATCACCAGACAGGGTTTCTATGAAGATTACAGCCAATAAGGATTGGTACACAATGTGAGGCACCTAGCAGGGTTCCCAAATGGTCATTCATCACCATAGGCAGTTAAAGAAATCCCTGCACCTCCAAGGTTGCCCAAGTTGGGGGAAGAATCTTGGTCTCTCGGGAGCCATCTGTTAGTTTCCTACAGGGATCACACACCACACTGAAAGACTAAGCCAGCCCAGAATGGCCTTGGGTTCGTTCGTTCTTTCTTTCTTTCTTTCTTTCTTTCTTTCTTTCTATCTATCTATCTATCTATCTATTTATGCGTGTATTACCTGCATGTAGGTAAGTGTATGCGTGTATTACCTGCATGTAAGTAAGTGCACCCATGTCATGCAATGCCTGCGGAAGACAAAAGAGGCTGTCAGATCCCCTGGAACTGGAGTTACGGACAGTTGTTAGCTGCCATGTGGGCGCTGGGATTCGAACCCGGGTCTTCTGCAAGAATAACCAGTGTTCTTAACCACTGAGCCATCTCTCCAGCCCCCAACCTTGGGTTCTTTTATTCACCACACAGGGAGGGTTTGTGCTCCATGGTGCCAGAAAGTTTAGAAAGGTGACCCAAAATTTTTCAGACAAGAAGCTAAGGTCACAATCATTTCCTCAAACACCAGTCAGGGCCTAGGACAAATATTAAAATTTCCCATTTAGGGCTTAAGTCATGAAAAACATTGTTCAAAGCAAGTGTTCCTGATGCACCAAAATATAACATATAGCGTGTTTCATGTCTCTCTGCTTCTAATAACATGTTTTGTGCCAAAGTGGTACCTACTCCAGTGCTAAATGCCCACTGGTATATCTGATGCCATTTCTCTATTAAGAAATGACAAGTGTCAGATTTGTGTTTGTCAAGTACTAATATGGGAAGGAAGGATGGGATTGAATATGGGAGGGAAGGCAGGATGGATGGATTTCTTAGTTAACCTACTAAGCCCTGTTATTTGCATTGCTTTATGATAACAATATAGCTAACATCATTCAAACCTATATTCCTTCCTATAGAATTTAGGAAATGGCAACCTTGGGGGCTGGAGAGATGGCTCAGCAGTTAAGAGCACTGATTGCTCTTCCAGAGGACCGAGATTGGGTTACCAGCACCACATGGTGGTTAACAACTGCCCATAACTCCAGTTCCAGGGGATCCGATGCCTTCTTCTGACCTCCATGGGCACTACACAACACAGGTGCAACTTAACATACATGCAGGCAATACACTCATACGCATACATTTTTTTTTTTTTAAAGAAATGGCATCCTTGTTTTGTTTTGCTTTTTTATTTTGTTTTTGTGATAGGGTCTTACTATACAGCTCAGGCTAGTCTCTAAATCAAGGCATCCTGCTTAAGGCCTCCAAGTGTTGGGATTATAGGTGTGTGCCATCATGTGTGGCTACAGCTATAAATTTTAAATAAAAGCATTCCATTAAAGGGCAATTATTAAATATGCATTATCAAATAAGCCATTCTAAGAAGACATCCAGCCAAATGTTTTAATCTAGCACTCAAGAGACAAAGGCAGGTAGGTCTCTGTGAGATCAAAGCCACCCTGGTCTACATAGTGAGTCCCAGGTCAGCTGGGACTAAAAGGAGGCCCCGTTTCAAAAAATCCAAAAAGAAGAAGATGGGAAGCAGGGAGAAGAAAACAGCCACTTACCAGCATGCCACTGTGAAGCCAAGTTCTCTGAAGAAGCTGCAAGTTTGTGAAAGATCCTGCAGCCTGACTAGAACATCAGGAATGAGAGAGCTGCAAGGCTGGAAGCCAGGAGTCAAAATTTACTGGGCAATCTTGGCCCCTGTGATATCCACTGACCTTTCGTATTCACTCAAAACTAGTCAAGTTCTCAGCGTATCACTAAGCCTAGCAAACCTCCGAGCTTTACCAACTCTAAAGCTAAGAATGCTGTAACATCTAAAACCCATGAGGGGCTGGAGAGATGGATGGCTCAGTGGCTAAGAGTACTGGCTGCTCTTGCAGAGACCTGGGTTTGGCTCCCAGCACCCACATGGAAGCTAACAACCATGCATAACTCCAGTTCCAGGGCATCTGACTCCCTCTTCTGGCCTCCACAGGCATTGTACACATGTGGTATACTTACACACATGCAGGCAAAACACTCATATACATAAAGATAAGAGGGATGGAGATGTAGCTCAGTGGGTAGAGTGCTTGCCATGCAAAGACCCTGGCTTCAACCCCCAGCACCACACATAAGCCAAGAGTGGTGGCACAGCTTGAAATTCCAACCCTTGGTAAGTGGAAGTAGGACGATCAGAAGTTCAAGGTCATTTCGGTACCTAGGGAGTTTGAGGCCAGCATGGGCTAGAGACACTGTCTTAGTTTTGTTTTGTTTTTTCCTCCTGTTGTTGTGATAAAATACTCTGAGAAATGCAACTTAAGGAAGAAAGCATTTATTCTGGTTTACAGTTCAAGGGTAGAGTCCATCATGGCAGAGAAGTCAAGGCAGAGGTGGTCATATCTCGTCCACAATCAGGAAGCAGAGAGTGATAAGCTCAGTTCCTGTTCTCCATTTATACAGTCCAGGGTCCCAGCCAGGGAATGGTGCCACCCAGAGTGGGTGGGTCTTCCTATCTCTAATATAATCAAAATCACCACCTTTAGGCAAGTCCAGAAGCTTAATCAACAGGTGACTCTATCATTTACCAAGTTGACAATTAATCTAATCATCACAGACCCTATCTCAACAATTATAAATAAATAAATAAAAGACAGAAGAAAACCTATGAAAGAGATTCCCACCTTGACATAGCAGCCTACCTGATGCTCCTACCATTGTTATTAGTAAATATATGTCTGACTTTCTTTTGTTCTCTGACTATAAAAGTTGGCTTAACTTTGTCCTTAGTGGAACATATCATTCAAGGTATCTGGAATCCATGTTCTCAGGCCACAATGACTCATATTTGGATCTAGAATAAACTATTTTCTTGCTTCCTTAAAGCAGAGCCATTATTTTACATAGATACCACCCACCCAAGGCATGTTCTGAATTGTTATATAACAAATTCACTTCCCAAGCTCAGGTCTTCTCAGAATGTTTATCCAAAGATCAGGAAACTATATCTGAGTCCTAACTGGTTCTTCCACAAAAAAGGGGAAAGCCTGATTTCTCCAATACATGATGAATATTCAACACTGTGAAAAGACCAGAATTTGTGGGCTGGGGGGTGTATTCAGTGGCAGATCAAGGCCCTGGGTTTGATTCCCAGTAATGAAAAAGAAAGTAAAGTACAACCCCATAGGCAACCCAAAGTACTGAGGCAAGCCATCCCTGAGAGAAGAAATACAATGCTGGGTTAAGATAAAGGAGCCCACTGATTCATCCCAGGACAGGGATGTAGCTCAGTGGTAAAGCATTTACCTACCATGCACAAGTCCCTAGGTTTCATCCTCAGCACAACCCACAAACAAAACAAGAAAGAACACAGAAAAGAATGTTAGGCACAGGCCTATAATCCCAGATACTGGAGATACTGAGGCAGGAAGACTGCAAGTTCAAGGCCAGCCTGGGCAACTCAGTGAAACTATATCTTTAAAAACAAAACAAATATGGGGAAAAAAAGACGGAAGGTCGGAAGGTGTAGCTCAGTGGTAGAGTACTTGCATAATATCCAATATGTGGCCCTAGGTTCAATCTTGAGGGGGGGGGAGGGAGGGAGGGAGAGAGAGAGAGAGAGAGAATGAATGAGCTAGCATGTGCCAACTTCTGATGTGAATTTGTGAGCCCCCCACGCCCTGCCAGCCTACATACCTCCTTGGAGCACCAGGCACACTTGGGGTGAATTAACAGACATTCTTCACACGAGGTGGCACTTCCACTAGTGCATATGTTGAGCCCTTCAAAGCAAAATAAAAATACACCAATTACTTTCCGACAACCATGACTGATGAAACCTTTGAGTAGCTGAGAGGGGAAAGGGACAGAAGCCACTTCCTTAACATGAGTCTGAAGCCAAAGGGTACCCCAATGCTAATTTCAGGTTAAGGTTTATTTGCTGAGGTCAATAGTTTCTGAAGCATCTGCCCAGCACACTCCCTTATGTTGGCAACTCCCACTTCTGCTGTGCCCAAGTGGGTTCCATCTCTTTTCCCTATAACTCAGCACAACCTCCTACACTGAGGGAAAAGAAGGGCCTTTGTACACATAGTCCACCCAAACATAATGGAAGGGGAAAAAATGAAAGAAAAAGAAGAGATTGGTTTCATTTATAAGTAAAACTATGAAAAATCCTAAATCCAATTACTCAGGATAGTATCTCATCAAAATCTCTAGAGTACTGAGGCAAGCCATCCCTGAGAGAAGAAATACAATGCTGGGTTAAGATAAAGGAGCCCACTGATTCAACATATCTACTAACAGAACAAATGGGAAAAAAAATACCATTGCAGATTAGCTAATGAAAACATCTCTGATAAAATTAAAAACCCTCCCGGGCAGGGTGGCACAAGCCCATAATTTTACCTCTCAGAAGGATCACTGAGAGGCCAGGAGAGGAGGATCAGGAGGTAGGCCAGCCAGAGCTACACAGCAGACTTCCATGCCAGCTATACTACATAACAAGATCTTCTTTCAAAAAATAATTAATCAAGAGCTGAGGAGATGGCTCAGCAGAGACACAAGCATAAAGGCCTGTCAAATTCCTAGCACCCACGTAAAAAGCCAGGCCTAGCCACACACAGGGCCACCAGCCTAGCTCAAGTTTCAGTGAGAGACTGTCTCAAGGGAATAAGGTGGAGAGTAACAGAACAGGACATTCAACATGTACACCACACACACACACACACACACACACACATACAATGTTTTTTACATAAATTAGGGTCTGGAGAGATGGTCCAGTAGTTAAGAACACTGGCTGCTCTTGCAGAGGACCCAGGCTCAGTTTCCAGCACCCACATGGCAGCTAATAACAGTTTGTAACTCCAGTTCCAGGGGATCAGATGCCTTCTTCTGTCCTCTGCGGGCATTGCACAACACAGGTACACTTGCATACATGCATACAATACAAACATACACATAAAATAAAAATCAATTTTAAAAATTAAATAATTTTCTAAAACTTAATTCAATACACACTTCTAATAATAGAAAATATTAGAAACTGATATTAGAAAGAAACTTCAGACCTAGGCAAGCCTTCCTCCTTCCACTCCACTAATCTAGTACAGGGCTCAACTGTAGGAATGAGACAACTCTATTGCTCTCTGTCCTCCCTCCTCTCCTCCACAAACAGCACAGGTGTCCTCTGTGAAATTGAACATTCCTATCCTCCCTTCCTCTGAACTTCCAGAGCAGATGGCCTTTGGCCAAGAGCAGTTTGCTGGCCATGCATTTTCTCTGAATGAGAATGACCCAATTTGTTCCTCACAGCACTAAAAAAACTCACTGGTCTCTCCTGAGGTCACTACTTTGTAAAGAGGAAGGGAAAGGTACATATTGGATAGCTGAAGAAGATTCAGATCTTCTGTTTTGTTTTGTTCTGTTTTGTTTCTTGAGAAGGTTCTTGCTACTGTAGGCTAGGCTGGCCTCAGTTGACCATCCTCTCATCCCCTGCCTCCCAAGTGCTATGATTATAAGAATGTGTCAACATGCAGGGCAAGGGTTCAGCTCCTAAGGGAGAAGAAAACAGAGTCAAAATAATTAAACACAGAGAGAGAGAGAGAGAGAGAGAGAGAGAGAGAGAGAGACAGAGACAGAGAGAGAGACAGAGATAGAGAGAGAGACAGAGAGAGAGACAGAGAGCGTGTGTATGATGACGAAATTGATGAATGGGGTCTGGTGAGATGGCTCAGTGGGTAAACACACTTGCTGCACAAGCCTGATGATCTGAGTTCCATGCCCTGGAACTCATATAAATGTGGAAAGAGAGAACCAACCCCACAAAGCTGTCTTCTGACCTCCACACAATGTGGCACACACACAGACAGACACACACACACACACACACACACACACGCGCACGCACACACACACACATATGCAATATAATAAAATTAAAGACAAACAGGTATTATAGCTAATCAGTAGCACTTCCATATACTAACAAACTATCTGAAAGAGAAATAAAAAAAATATCATTTACAACAGCATCAAAACAAATTACAAATAAATTTAAGCAAGAAAGTGAAAGGTTTACACACTAAAAACTACAAAGCATTAATAAAAGACATTGAAAATGACCCCCAAAATGGAATGATATATGATCATGGGTTGGAAGAATGAATATTGTTAAAGAGATGCTCAGTGGTTACAGGTACTGGCTGCTCTTACAGAAGACCCAGGGTCAGTTCTCAGCACTCACATGGCAGCTAACAACCATCTGTAACTACAATTCCAGGAATCTGACACCCTCTCCTGACCTCTTCCAGTACTGCACGCACATGATACATTTTCAAACTTGTAGATTAAAACACTCATATACTGAGCAATCCTGGAAAAAAAAAGAAAAACCTACTCATATGCATAAAATAAATGGATCTTTTTTTAAATGCCCATGCCACACAATGTGACCCACAGATTTGTGCAAACCCTATCGGACTTTGACTCAGGCCAAATGGTTTATGGCTTCATCAATTGAAAAGAATTTCAGGACTAGTCAGTCTATGAGGAAGAAATGGAGATTTTTTTTAAAAAAAGACATTTTAATATAGACTTGAGCATAAGAGTTAAGAGAAAGGCACTCAGAAGAAACTAAGAGGGCCTGGAGTGATAGCTCAGAGGTTAAGAACACTGACTGTTCTTGCAGAAGACCCGGGTTTGAATCCCAGCACCCATATGGCAGCTAACAACTGTCCATAACTCCAGTTCCAGGGGATCCAACAGCCTATTCTGTCCTCCATGGGCACTGCACGACACAGGTGCACTTACCTACATGCAGGCAATACACGCATACACATAAAATAAATTAATTAATTAAATATTTTTTTTTAAAAAAGGAAACTAAGATATGCCCAAGCGTGGAGTACATGCTTCCCAAGAGAGACTAGGGGAACAGAAGACCTTCATTCAAAAAGACCCCAAAAAAGAAAGAAATAGTCAAGACTGAAGAGATATCAACAGTATGGGAGGAGATATTTGCAAACCATATTATCTGATAAGGGTTAATATCCAAAACCAAAAGCTCACCAGCAAGAAAACCCAACTTTGAGCTGGAGAGATAGTTTAGTGGTTAAGAGTGCTTACAAAGCTGGGTGTGGTAGTTCACACCTTTAATCCTAGTACTTGGGAGACAGAGGCAGGCAGAGCTCTGTAAGTTCAAGGCCAGCCTGGTCTACATCAGGCTAGCTGGGGCTACAGGGGAACCTGTCTCAAAACAAAGAAAAACAACAACAACAAAAGTAAAAAGCAGGGGCTGAAGAGATAGCTCAGTGTTTAAGAGTGTATACTGTTCTTGCAGAGGACCCAAGTTCTGTTTCCAGCACCCACATCAAGCAGCTCACAACTACCTGGAACTCCAGTTCCAGGGGATCTGATGTCTCTTGCTTCCACAGTAGACATACACATAATTTAAAAAATTTTTAAAGTATTTTAAATTAAAAATATATAGACTCAACCTAAGTGTCCACCAATGAATGAATAAAGAAAATTTGGTCTATACATAATGGAATGTTAAGCATTTTTTAAAAAAGAAGGAAATTTGATAATTGGTGACATGGGTGAATCTGGAAGACATGATAAAAAGAACTAAGCCAGGCACAGAAGGGCATCAACCACATATGGAATCTGAAACAGACTCACAGAAGCAGAGAACAGAATGGCACTTGCCGGGGACACATATAGGTGAGGGAGGAGCGGAGAGATGGAGCTCAAAGGCACAAAACTGTAGATGGGATGAATGAGTTTTAGAAGCTGTTGTTCAGCATGGGACTTTAAACTAATACGAATACTATAATAATAAAATAATATAAAGACAACATAGTGTTTGTTGTAGTTTAAGACAGGGTCTCCCTGTAGCCCCAGCTGGCCTGGAACTTACTATGTAGACCAGGCTGGCCTCAGACTCACAAAGATCCACCTGTCTCTGCCTCCCAAGTGCTGGGGTTAAAGGTATACACCACCACATCTGGCTTAAAATAATATATTGTATACTTGAAAACTACACACTCACACACACACACACACACACACACACACACACACACACAAACAAGGTCATAAATACACTCATTAGCTTGTGATAACAATTTCACACTGTATATATGTACCAAAACATTGCTGTATAATATAAAATATATAGTATTTCTTTTTTTATATTTGTCAATTATACCTCCATAAAACTGGAAAAATAGGTACAACTGTAAAAAGTTAAAGAGAAGTATCAAAAATAGAGGGGAAAAGACATCTTGAAACTCTAAGAGTTCCCTAATTTGAAGTTTTGACTCCATTTCTCCTCTGTCACTTGCAGTAAAAACCCACAGACATCATAAATAGCAAAGGAAGGGGGGTGTTAGGAAGCCATATTGTCACCCTGAGGGACATTAGAAGAAACAACAGCAACTGGAAACTGGGATGGAGAAGAGAAAGGGCAGGCCCTGAGGTGTTGGAAAGCCAGGGAGGCAGGGAGGGAGGCTTTAGGAAAACAAGTGAGGAGAACAGTGATTTTTGCCAGCCAGGACCCTGACCCTGAACTCTGGGTCCTCTCATCCCCACAGCAGATGTCCTGCTTGGTAGCACCCACCTCACATCCCAGGAATTAGAGCAGGGTCAGCACACCTCTCAGACAGGCACCCTCTCACTGCCAGGTTGCAACCAGAGCACATGAGGGCCCCTGAGCCTCCTCCTGCACATGACCCTCCTCTGCAGAAGCCACACAGGTCCAGACAGGCCACCACAGTCC